AAAAAATCTACTTAGGGAATGGCACGAGGAAGTAAAAGTCATGTAGATGATTAATAGCAGTTCTGATGCTTTTTCTCGAAATAATATGGTCGAAACAAATGGGTTAATAATACACTTGCATGTTTTATTTCGGAACAAGTAATGCAAAATAAGACGGCCAAAAATGTATTCGGGTACCAAATCTATAGAGTTCAATTTTTTTTCTATTTCCTAAAATAAATAGATCGGCATGGTGAACATACTGGTACAGCTGAAATAAAATATCAGCCTAGAGATTCAAATTATGGACACAATAATGTCAGCGAGAATAAGCGTTGTTAAAAGTATAGGCTTAGCATTTCTTACACAAAGGATGTAAGACATCGACTGATGCCATTCCACTTTGATAACATCTACGAAGGATTGAGATCGGGCCAACTTTAGCCAAGAGGTTGAGGCGATCAGACGCATTCGTGCCATATCACCTTTGCTGAAATGTGAGAATATAATAAAGACAATGGGTATTTGGCGTAAATCAAGCACAGCTAAAACGATTATCAAGAGCCGAATAGAGATGATATAGTATTAAAGCCCAGAGCTCTCTTTGTACATATGATAGATTAAGAAGAAATAAAAGTAATATAGGTCTAATGGCAATGAAAAGTATAAGATTTGCCGAGCGTACTTGCCAAGCCTGAGAATCGAGGCAGAAATTGCTGATTAGCCATTGTCCTAGAAATCCGGTAGCAGCCCAGGGGAAAAGTATAAGGTTTAAACATGTAATACCAATTTAAAAAAATTTAAGAGATAGGTCCAGTGCATCGAAAAATTAATAATGTAATTGATGCACAACAAGGCTAATTTAAAAAGTGTGACAACAAAAAAAGAAGTATTAAGACGATGGATTTTAGTTAACCACATTCTACCAACTTAATAAAGTTCATGAGAACTTGAAAAGACGCTGAGCTTGTTCTCTCAGCATGAGAACGTTGAATAGATTAATTTCCAGGCGTTTAGCTGGCATCGTCAGTGAAAAGAGCCATCCGAAGCATCAAACTAAAACTCGCCAAAGTGACTTCACTTGTAACAACAATGGCATGCATAAGAGGGTAGGTTCTTCGAAGATGTCAAAAAAGTAGGATTAAGTAGCAAAAACGAGATCAAGCCAAGTCGGTAAATTGAAAGAAAGCCGAGAAAGGACTATATACCAGTTATGTCTGTAAATCTAAAAAAAAAGCTTCAGACGCCGATTAATTAAATTAACTACAGGCTTATCATTAGATAAGCCAACAATCTGGTTTACCGGACTTTGGAGTAGTGTCCTTAAAGATATTGTCGCTAGTGGAT